TCGTTGTTCAATAATAAAATTTATATATTAAAACTTGTTAAGATCTATCATCTTACATGTCGTATATCAAACTTGTGTGTAATGCCATTCATCCAATATGGGAGTCGTTCTTCTTACGTTTTAATTGTGTATATACTGTGTCTTTCTTATGTGGCTGCGTACATATGCAATGTTTTTGCCTTCTAGAGTTCAGTTCCATATTTTAATGGGCCATCTTCTTGCCTTTCATAGACCAGGTACTCATAAAAAAGACCATTCTCTTCCTGCACCTGATCAGGGTCATCTGGATCTCTGGAACAGAAAACACTTCCTGTAATTGTGAATTTATCCTTACCAATTCATAATTGATGAAATATGATTCTTCAAGCACTGAACAAGCATCCTGGTTATACTGCCTTTGTGTATATGCCTGCCCATAAAGTAATCACAATGACATTTTTTCTTACACAGGTGGCGGCAGTGGTGAGATGGCACGGTTACGAAACTTGACACTACAAATCATAACTATAGGATAACAATATAATTTCAACTGAACCTGGTTGTTTTGCAGAAGCAATATTTATACAGAGGGGTCCAAAAAATGTACTCACTCTTTGATAGTCAATATCTTTGGAACAAAATAACATGTAGATACAATTCTTGCATGGGAAGAGAGAGAGTCATTGTATGTGTTCAAAGTGACAACCATCAGCGGCTAAACAGTGTCGATGCCGCCGAACTGCTGAGCGAACTACGGCTGTCAGTGTGCAGCCTTCAGAATTCACCGTACACTTGATTGGCTTACCCCACTTTTGCGTGCACACTGACCCACAGATTTTTGCGGTGATTGTGTAAAGTGTTGCAACACCATTCACTGGAAGCTGGACTTGTTACTATCCGTGGTCGCCCAGATCTTTGCTTATGCACATCATGAACAGTACCGTTGGCTTCAAATTTATCCCGAATACGGGCAATTGTACGACGTGTTGGTGGCTGGGTTCCAAACTCATTCTGCCACTGTCGTTGTACCTCTTTAAATGTTCTCGTACTTCCAGTACCACTTCAATACAGCCTTGCGTTGCTCAAAGAACAACCTTTCAGCCATTGTTGCTGCTGTCCTCTGCTCACAGCACTCATGTGGCACGACACTTGCGTGACTCATGTGACCTTCGCCATCTGTTGAGAAAACATTACACTACACTACTGCACAAGAATTGTAACTACATGTCATTTTGTTCCAAAGATACTGACTATCAAAGAGTGAGTACTTTTTTTGGAACCCCTCTATTTGCTTTTTGTCTCTAGACACATAAAAAAATGTGAAGTACAGTTTGAAAACAGAAAATCAATGCCATATTTTTGTGAAATTGGTGAAAAATGCCATGGACATTCACAATATGCTGCAACAAGTTTCTGCAGTTATAGCAGAGTGCAGACACAGTTTCCTTCATGCAGGTTAAAAGTTTCAACAGAGAAAGATAACAATCCAGACATCTGGCAACATAAATAACTGATTTCAAACACAGAGAGTCACTTATATGGTGATAAATGAGTTGGACAGAGTAAGTTGGAAAATGAACTGAACACAAAAAACAAAATACAACAAAACCTTGATTCATTGTTTTCTTTGGGGGGAGGGGGGGTCCTGAAAAACCGATGGATACGAAAAAATGACATGTGCAGGGGCATATATAAAATGAATAATAATGGTCACATTTGCCTATATGTACTTACTGAATGAAGAAATGCGTACCACTGACAATATTTCAATTGTCCTGTTCAATTTGCATTACTTCTTTTTAAAATGTCACTGAAATGATTCACACTAACATAGGAGAAACTTTTCCCAGCTTGACCAGGATCTTGCCAGCCCCCCTTCCCCTCCAGC